TTAGTTATTGTTCGTCTAGTACAATATATATATATATATATATATATATATAAGGTATATACAAAATTTTGAATTTATACAATCAGAAATTGAGTTATGCAAATTCCAGATTTGTAATCAGGCGAATAGCAAAAATTGGGGGAATTGTAGCTATAGTACCTAAATATAGGCTAAATGTTTGTTATTCGGCATAATTTCTCTTCAATAAAATAGATGTGTTTTCAGTATGTATCGATGTTATACAAATAGTATTCCATCCGTCTCATTTTATATGAGTATTTTGACTTGACATGCAATTTAACAAATAAATGAATAGTTTTGAAACTTGTAGTTTAGAAGCTTTTTTCGCGGCAAGAGCGGTGTTGTAGCATCAGTAATCGCGGATCAGCATGTCGCGGTGAATATGTACCCGGGCCCGATCTCTCCAACGCATAAATGGTTGTGAGTTCACGTTCTCATCATCTTTGGTAAAATCAAATAGATGATAGATATTTGTGTGGTCATAAATCATTCATTAAGGATAAATAGGTATTTTAAAGTTAAATTGTTATTTAATATAGAAATGTATTATTCTTTTTGGAACGGATGAAAAAGGAAATACATTCGTATAAGTGGGATAGAAGAAGTATATACAAATTGTCTATATATGATGTATAACTATGTATTAGAATATATGTTTTTTATATGAGTAATATATACTCATACTTATAATTTTTTCAAATTTTCTTCAAATAGTTCCAAATTTTAAATATGAGTTCCTTTCAATATTTTTGAGTTTTATATATTAAATTCATCTAAATAATTCACATTTGTGATACGGTTAATTTAATTAAGTTTCATAATAGAATTTTGAGATAACTATGATCCAAAACACTTCAGTCAACTATAAAACATATTTGTTGTATATACTTATACTCAATATACATATAATATATCTGACCAAGGTATGTAATTCGAATTTAATTGAAATTTAACACAATCAGGTAATAGGTAATTTTTTCACCTATTGTAGCATATTAGCTGATAATGATTTCTTAACTATCGTACTATTGAATGATATATTAAGCTTTCGCTATATAAGAAGGAAAGATATAAATGACTTACGTATAAGCTAAGTCATGATAAATTAATTATTGTATTTTAACTTAACTGTTAAGACTACTAATTATTATGTAGCTAGGTTTCTTTTTGTTTACAATTTGGTCATGTCGACAATATGATCCGTGTGTGAAGTATTTAATTATGAAATGAAGCAGCCATTTATTTATTTCACAATATAATTATTGTCATTACGTATGGTTTTGATAAAAGTCAATTGTACCGATAATGTTTAGAATAAATCAAGAAAAAAAATTAGAAATAAGATGCAATTGATAATTTAGGAAAGAAATAGGTTCAAAAAAAGAAAATAATTTGACTTTGCATGTATCCACCCTCTTCAAATTATATGGAATATAGTATTGTTGTGATCATTCAAGAAAATAAAAACAAAGAAGAGACAAACACCTTATTTGTTTGTATATTTAATAGGGATTTGGAATCTTAATTATTCAATTTTTAGTAAATAATAAGTATGTCTATCTTTTAGATCTTAATTTTAATTATTCAATTCTTAATTTTCAAGTATTTCTTTTTTCTGTGTTTTGCAATCAAAGAAACTAAATAGGCTAAAAGATATTAAAGCTCGAGTCCAACAAGGCAGAAAGTAGGGTTGCAAACTTTTTTTTTTTAGAACATAAATTTTATCTTTTATCGATTTAAAAATACATTAAATTAGTTTAAAATTATTAAGATATTGTTTATCGATAATCAGTGATGGTTTTTAACAGTTAAGATTTGACACGGAATAATGATTGAAAATCATTTAGAAATAAGATAACAAACAAAATAAACCATACACGTGAGTTGACATATTATATCTTGTACAAAAGTAAACACAGACACATTGTAGTATAATTAAAAGTTTCAAATTGCCAAAAATAAAAATATGAAACTAAACGTTAAATATTTTATATGCCGATTGATATAAATATAATTACAGGGCTAGTCATGAAAAATATCAAAATGCCAAGAATCAATAACTCATAGTAAATATTATTAAAATTATTATCGGAAGAGCTAAATCAATTACCCATTACTATAAATCACAATAAATTTGGGTTATCATTTCAATTCAAATAGTAAAAAAAAACAATGTTTTTTGTAACATGGGCGCAAAAAATATTTGGAAAGGAAGGCTCTAATTCTGCGATCAGTTTCACATAATTTCATTGATCTTTTCAACTTCTCAATCCCCAAATTGATATGACTCAGTAAGTCAAATTAGGAACACAGATACAAAATCAACGGTGCCGGAAAGTACTTCTGACTGAAAATTCACAGGCATTGCACCGGCGATCGGCGATCGGCGATCAGTTTATATTGCGTAAACTGAAAGAGGTAACAAATTGTCATCTCTTCTCATTCCTTGGGATCCATATTACACACATTTTCCATTTCTTAACCCTGCTATGATCAACTTGAAAACAAGTTTTATTGCATTCCGAATTCTATGATGATTGACAATGAGTGAATGCCTGATGTATCTCTATTTTGATGCTTCTAGAAATTACTGTAGCTATTAATCTAGCTTTAAGATAAATATATCTAAGATACTATTGTAGATCATTCTAGAAGCATTTGTAAAAAATCTTAAGTTCTTTTTTTGATGTTCCAAAGAGTTAACTTTAGTCTTTTCAGTCTATTTGTTGAATATCTTTTGTCTTTACTACTTAGGAAGTGGAGAAATTTGGATATGCAAAGGGAGAAACTCTGGACTTTACACTTCTAGATGTGTTCAACTCTTAATTTGATATTTTTGTTAATACTTGAGTAATTTTCAACTGTAAATCTATACTCCGTTACTGTAGTAGAGAATTCTGTACAAATCTTTATTTAAAAACATACCATACACAAATACAAGTAGTGAGTAATAAATGAATGCAACATAAATCAACCATTTCACAACAAACTAGAACATCTAAATTTACTCTATTTTAACCTGAGATAACTGAAGATTGGTTTCTCTGGGACAGTTATGCACTTGACAAGCCAA